GCCTTCTAAAAGGGCCCAAGCCAAACATAGAGAGGAGGTGAAGTATGAAAATAAAGCAATGCACAACAAAATTGTATATCCAAAACTTAAATTCAAGACTACTGATTAAGTTACAACATGTATAAGTTAATTCACGTGTTTGTTGATTTCTTTACATCTAGTTTAATCTCTATTTCTTAAATTGACATTATTCTTAAGGAGTATATAAATTTTTTTTCTAAAGTGTTATTTTCATTAGAAAAATTAATAAAGAAACAAAAGTAGATAATGCTTTACTCTTTTTCTCTCCCTTTGTTTACATGAGAAATAGGTGCAAGCATCAAGGAAAGGTAGGGAGAGATTTGGTCATGGAAGATCAAAATATGTGACATTAATTAAAATAGCACCCTAGACTAAGGCATGTGCCATTGGAGTTTCAAAAGGGGATTGTTTGTCATCTTCAAAACACTACTACAAGATGTATATTCTACGTCGGTTCTGCAAAGTCATCTACATTGGTTCTAAAATCGATGTAGAATAGAGGGGCTTAGAAAATGTATACATTTCTACATCGATTTTGAAACCGATGTAGATTTAAGCTTAAATCTACATCAGTTCTCAAGAAAACTGATGTAGATTTAACCATAAATCTACATTGGTTTTCCTGAGAACCGATGTAGATTGCATTTTTTTTATAAAAAAAAAACATGCTTGTTTTTGGGTTCTTTTTTTGTCTATATATAATGGACAAATATTGTCGATCAAGATTAATTTGGCCACCAAATTACAATAACAAAAATCACACAAACAAATTATCAGTTTTAATTTATCAAATATTGTATGGTGCCACACATTTTCCCCCTTTTCAAGTTAAACTAGTTACATTTATATAATTTTTAAAATTTAAACTAGCTAAAAACTAACAATTTTCAAGAAGTTTAAAAATTTATACATAAATGCTCACATAGAATGTTAAACAGCCTGCCAAGAAGCTGCACAATAACACATCAGGATCCAGGATAGAAATGTTTGGGAAGGGTAAGGCAAGATAAGTAGCTTCTAAGTAAAGAAAGAACTGAATATAGCATAAATGATTTAGACAATATATTATGACTTTATAATTGGACACCATGCCAACAAAATTTCCATTTAGATGATTTAGTGTTAAAAAAAAAAACTCAACATTTCTTGATCCAATAAGGATAACCAAGGCACACAAATCATTAAATAAAATGCTACCACATTAAAGATTTCAATCATTTAAAAGAAACTATAAAATCAAGAGCAAACCCCCCAACCACCCTATGAAACATATATGGAAACGTAAAAGGGAAGATCCACAGGAACCACAAAATAAATAATAAATAATCAGAATTAGGGATGAAAATTAGAACCAACTCAACAAAAATTTTCAACTAAGTGATGCAGAAAAAATCAACATAAAACAAGCTTCACATAGGCATTTCAATCACAGAGGTCGATATAGAAGCATTGTAGAAAAGTAATTAACATACAACACACCTCGTATTCATAATCACGATCACCTCCTGGAGAACTTGCTGATTGAACCATTAAATACTAAAAACAAACAAATTTTTTGACCTAATTAATCTAAACAAAAAAAAAATTGTTAACGCACAAAATACATAAGCCACTTCCAGCACTACTAGCCATAAGAACTCCCATACACAGAAATTACAAAAATCGCAAATCCATACGCAACTAAGTGTGTCTTATGTGTTCTAAAAATCTTTAAAAAAAATGATTTCCAAACAATAATAAAAGAAAACATAACACGTCTTAAAGATACACAACCAGATTCCAAAAACACGCATCAAATCCGATAACTAGAAATGGAGGAATAAACGGTAGAAAGAAGAACCAATTTCAGACATCGAAGAGTGGAGAACGCAAAAATAATGGAAACCGATTTGGAGCAAAACATGATAGAAACAGAAAAATCAAAGGAATAGAAAATAAGCGAAATCGAGAGTGAAACCTGAGAAAGCGAAGGAAAAAGTTTGAAATAAGGATTTAGGGTTCCATCCACAATTTACGCGCACTTATTTGTAGTGCTTCGGAGAGCATGTGGACAAATCCCGTGGCCAAGATGACTCCGACAGCGAAGGCCTTGGCAACGACAAAGAGGTTGTCGTCGGTGCGGAGGAAGCGGCGGTGGCGTCCGACGAGCGGGATGGCGATTCCGGCCATGCTGGTGAGGAGGATGGAGGCGATGGCGATGAATTTGAGGATGAGCGCGGCAAAGTCGTCTCAGTAGAGGTCAGAGTCATGGCCGGCGCAGGTGGAGTGTCATGGATTCTGGAAGGAAGTGTATACAGTGCGACACCAGGGCACACGAATGGATTCCCAGCGATCTCCGACTGTGGCATGACTGGCAGAGGCAGCGGGGGTGGCTCCGCCTTAGAGCTCTAGTGTGGCGGCAGCGATGGTTAGCGTCGCTACTTAAGATGTTGCCCATGGAAAGGAGAAGCCCTAATTGTGAGATGAAAGGGTATGCTTTACCAGGGTGTTCACGGGGCACATATTAGAGTCTCACTTCTACATCGGTCATAAGCAAACCCGATGTAGAACAACTTCCTGATTCAATTTCTACATCGGTCAATAATAAAACTGATGTAGAATTGCTCATATTTACATTATTTCTCCTCCCAACCGATGTAAATATGTTTGCATTTTCTATTTATTTACAAGTTTGTCACCGCGTTTATGATTTACATCGGTTCTAATATAACCGATGTAAATATAGCGATGCTAAACAGTGTTTTTCTAGTAGTGATAGTTTTGTAGCCTATAAATTATGCTTATGACCTAAATTTTTGAAGCATATAAGATGAAACATATTATATGGCAGCCTTAAGGCTTAGTATGTAACTACTATCTAGACAGAAAATGAGCATATTAATATTAAAATGGAAGGAAAGGTGGAAATGAAGCCATTTCAGCCTCAAATCCACTACTACAAGATGCATATTTTACATGGGTTCTCTAAAGGCATTTACATCGGTTCTAAAAGCGATGTAGAATAGAGCGACGTAGAAAATGTATACATTTTTACATCGGTTCTGAAAAACCGATGTAGATTTAAGCTTAAATCTACATCGGTTCTCAAGAAAACCGATGTAGATTGCATTTAAAAAAAAAATCATGCTTATTCTTGGACTTACTTCAATGAATCTGACATGTGAAATAAATTTATACGTTTAAATAGATCATGCCACACATTAGGAGAGTTCAAAATACTATAGCTTATGCCTGAAAAATCCAAATGATATACCACAATTATAACGCCCCCCCCCCCCTAAAAAAAATAAAATACATTAATCACATGATCACATAATGTACTAATAAAAAAATATGCATCACCAAATGTATAATCATAAAAACTAAATTGGAATATTCAATTCATTCTGGCTAGAGGAACAGACCTAAATAAAGTTATACCTTAAAGACATGTATTTTCCCTACTTACTGATTCGATTCCTGATTAAAGAGCACAGAAACATGATCAATCAAAAGCATTTATTTACCTACTTCCCTTCTTTGGACCAGATACCCCATCTTTGGACTTTTCACCTGTCATCCGCGAATGAATAAAAAAGGCCCATACTTTTATTAACATTATTATACAAAATAATAGCAAAAAACTATGTACAAAATAAATTTTTTGAGTGTTGATGCTATTTATATTTTGATTTTTGAACTTATGGAGTTATGTCATTAACATTAATTTAATTGTTTATAAACTTTAATTTAATTGTTGTTTTAGATGTTTAATACTTTATAATGACAATGCTTTTTAAATTTAAAGCATGAAATTGTATTATTATGAACTTGTGATTTTAAATTTGAAGTTTTCACATAATATTTGTCAATGTTATTTAATATGACAATAATTTAAATTTAGAGTATCGAATATCTTAAATTGTGTTAATTATATTATTTTTAATTTTTTAATATAGATAAGTTTAACCAATTTAATAAGTGATTACTAAATCATTAAATGGTATGGTTAAAACTAAGTAAACTGCAAAAAGAACATAACAGTTCACTCATCACATAACAGTTTCAATTAGAGTTCTAGGCAGTAAAAAGAACAACAACAACAGTACACCTCATATGCAATTGAAACTTCTTTTCAGCCTCAGGATCATCTTTGTTTGTGTAAGGATGGAGCTTCTTTGCAAGCTGCAGAACATAGAGAAAAAAAATTGAGATGGTAGAAATGGCAGAGGGAAAGAATTATTTTAGACAAACAATTCATGATTATCAAGAGTCTTTGAAGAATTTGTGTCAAGAAAGAATGAAGGATAAGTAAAGGGAACTGTAAGGAATATGTTAGCAAGCCTAGAACCTGTGCAGACATTAAAATATTATAAGAGAATAATACATTCTGATTCTGGTAAAAGAAAATCATAAAAAATTAGCAAGTAAAAAATTAAACAGCAAAAGGTGAAAGACATATTTCTGTAATATATAATGTAAATAAGTGATTGCATATGTAAGATCAACATGATTTAAAACAAACTCTTCCTAGTCCAATTCAAACAATTATTTTTAATATCGCTACTTGGGAAATGACTACAGTAACCACATACTATAAAGAAAATGACAGTTTTGTAAGCATGTGGGAAAGACATGAAATTAAAAAAGAATGTTATAATCTGATCCCTTTTAACCAGGAAAGATACAAGAAATCATAAATTTTTACCAGGAAATAAGTCATGTTTACCAAAAAAAAAATTTTAAAAATGTTCTAGTATATATATATATTGATACTAGTTAATCAAAACCTACCCCGTAGTATGCTTTCTTTATTTCAGAAGAACTTGCATTCTTACTCACACCAAGCACGTCATAATAGTCTTTCGCCAATGATGCTGAAAAGGAGTTGAGGGAGAAAAAGAAATCATTCACAAGACAAATAATTATGCATACAGGGGAAAACCAAAATAGAAAACGTGAGTTAATTGAACAATGCCTTCTTTGGCCACCTTCTTTTCGCTTTCTTTCATCTCCTAGAGCACTTATTACATTCCCAAGAGCTAATAGACCCTTGTTGATATGAATGCCTTGACAATGGAAAAACTAACTTATCACAAAGTTTAAAAATTGCATTTATAAAACTCATCTAGCAAAAAGGCAGTGGTGTACAATTTTCAAAATTCTATTGTGGTTTGTGAAAATATGATATATTAGAGAACATATTTTTGTGTATAAATTATATTCCTATTCTTATCAAAACAATATGCCCCATCACAAGCAAAAGGAATACCTTCTTTTAAACGCATGCCATCTGTGCCAGTTCTTTTTGCACGTTCAGAACCATTTAAGGCAGATCACATTTGGATTCTATGACAAGTCTCATATAAATATAATACTAACTTTTAATAAATCAATACAGGAGTATCAGAATCCACATGGAATTGTAGTTAAACTAACTTGTGATCAATTACATACCTTACAATATTTCTTAAAGACAGAAAAGATAACATCATCATCTACAATCACTTCTGCATGGTTACGAACTACGGTGATCCACTGGAAAGTCAAAATAAATTCAAATTAAGACATAATTTCAAGAAACAAATGTTAAATAATTAGCTCAGTAGCATAGATGAAATAAAAAAATCAAAAATCAAAAAAGCTATCTACGAGGCAAACCTTCCTGGCCAGTTTCTCCACATGCATCGAGAAATTCTTCTCTGGAAATCCACAATGAGGTTGGTCTCCTTGTAAGAGTCATATGAAAACCAGTAAGCATGCATTATTTAGAGCAAGCAAATAAGACACCTTGAGATTCTAAAGAAAATCAACAACCCTAGACACTCATGCACACCTTCATATACTGCAAGTCAAGCTCTTCCACGCCTACATGTGCATCCATTTCAAAAAGCTCATAAAATTTACCCATCTGCACCAACAATGAGGAAAAATATTCAACTTGGATCCATTGAGGAGAACCCTCAGGTCGGCGGCGACGGAGGGAACCTTGTTCTTGCCAACCAACTTGGAGGCATGTCCGTCGCCGAAAGCCATCAAATTGAAAGGCGTCACGTCGGCCTTGAGCGCCTCGCACGAGAACGCGGCGGTGACGTCAGCGAAGGCGAAGAGCGCGACGAAGTGGTGGTCGAGAATGGCGAGGACGGCGAGCAACGTGGAACGCGTGGCGGTGTGGAGCGCAGGGAGTTCGTGCTCGATGACGTCTGCGTCGTCGAATTAGAATGCGTGAGGTTTTGAATTTAGGGTTTTGGAAATGAGGAGGGGAGTGCGGGAGGAGGCATTGGAGAGGAGGAGGTCGTTGAGGAGGACGAGGAGGAAGGCGCGGGATTCGTCTAGGGTTAGGAAATCGGGGGCAGTGATGCGGGGGGTGAAGGAAGACAGGGGCGTGGTGACGGCAAAGACGGAGGAGGAAGAGAGCGAAGAGGCCTTGGCCCCGAGTATGCTTTAACCTAGCGTGTTCGTGGGAGGGGCTCATTTCTACATCGGTCATAAGCAAAAACCGATGTAGAATAATTTCTTGATTCCATTTCTACATCGGTCAATCATAAAACCGATGTAAAATTGCTCATATTTACATCGTTTCTCTTCTTAACCGATGTAAATATGTTTGCATTTTCTACTTATTTACAAGTTTGCCACCGTGTTTATGATTTACATCGATTCTACTAAAACCGATGTAAATATAGCGATGTAAAATAATGTTTTTGTAGTAGTGATCTCATCTTTAGATTTTCTGTACTAACTAATTTCCACAGGAAATTGCCAAAGTTCCTTTTTCCACAAAATTGTCTCTTGTTTCGAGTTCCAACAAATATTTTTCCCTTTGCTAATGGTACATTTGGTAGGAAAGAATTAAATAGATAAAAAATAAAGATAGATAAACAAATTTGATTATACTGGTTTTTCTTTTAAGTTATCACTTCTATTTGTAGCATGCCATTTCACTCTCAACATTTTGGCTTTCCCTGACAAACGTACACATATTTGTAGGAAAACAGAACCCTAAATCATTTTGATCTCAAATTGCAGGAAAATAATGCACCTATCTCTTTGCGAACACGAACGGAGGAGAGGGCCTGGATGAAGCTTTAACACCAGTACGACAAGCTTCACTATTTATTTAATGTGTTTTTAATCACATATAAATTGGTATATAAATTTCCAAAATAAAAAGGCTAGGACTCTAGTCTTGGAGCAATTTTTAAGTATATTTAGCGTTATGTTTAATTAATATCGATGTTTGTGGTTTGATAAAACAACATCCACCTTTAATTTTAACTTTTATATCGGTGTTCCATATCTATATCTAAAATATTTAAAAAATATTACACCTAAATTGTATATATTAGAATTCCAACAATTTTTATATAAATTTAATTCAAAATGTTTATAAGTGGGTGATAATGCGGGATTCTAAATTCGATCCTTGAGACGGAACAATAATTTGTTGAAAAACACCTGTCCCATTTCTAAACCTAATGATTCTTACAAAGGCCACTAAAATTTTATTTGTTTTTTTATATAATAAACAACTGAGACACGTAACCTTTAATAGGGTTCTCATTAAAAATTAACTAATTTCATTTTTCTTTTCCAAACACTCATAACAATTCAAAATCATACCAAAACTAAAACAATCAATTTAGTTGGGGTCCTGATTTATGGATAATCTATAGTTGGAAAACACATACCAAGACATTAGAAATGAATAAGGAGTTCTATTTTTTCTTTTTCACGTCACTAAATTAGGAAGGACAAATTATTATTTTAAGAGATTCTCTGAATAATTTTGTATTTTAGTAGTAGTCCAAAATATATTTCGTATTTTAGTGGTGGTTTGTCTTTTTTTATATACTATATGCATCAAGTGTTTTTATTTAGCGGATAAAAAATGTATTATTTAATAACTATTTTTTTAACAACTAAAATTGACCTAATGATAAAAATTCAAAATAATATGCATAAGTCATAAATTTTAATCTATATTGAAATGATTATTTTACCCCCAATAAAAATTATTAATAATTATTTTTATATAATTTAAATAAAATATTATATAATAAATATTATAAAAAATTATATATTTCTATATTATATTATAAATGTCATTAAAAAACCAATGTGGCCTAAACCATGAGAAAGAGAGACACAAATAAATTAAATTAAACATGGAGTAGGCACTCTCAAGATATCAAAAACTAGCAACTAATTAATAAGTTGAGCAAGATATTGCTCATAGACACTACAACAAAATTTATTTTTAATGACAATTATTTAATGGCAATAATTTAATTGCCACCATATGTAAAAATATTAATGGCTAATATATAATAGCCACTAAAAATATATTTATATTACACTAAAGTTTACTATTAGCGACAATTATTTAGAAAAAACTTAAGTCCCACATTGATTAGAGATAAGATAATTAAATAGTATATAAGTGAGTAATAACTATCACCTTACAGGTTCATTTTATAGGGTTGACTCCTAATTCACTATTCTAAATTGGTATCAAATCACTCATTGTTACCAACTTCAATAGTGCTATAAAACAATTAGAGACCAACTTTGACCTTATAAATCTCACATTGCTTAAAAGACAACATAATTAAAAAATAAATTAAAAAATATATAAATAAAAGACAACTCTCATCTTACAAATCTCATATCGAGTAGAGATAAAAAAGTATATAAGTTATGAATTTAGAAAATGAAATTATAGGAATAAATTATTTAAAGTAAAGGAGACAATTGAAAAAAATAACTTTTAATAGCCTTTAAAATGGCTACTAGAATTGCCACTAAAAAAAATAAATTTTTCCGACAATTTAGTAGATCTTTACCGGCATTTTATATAAATGCCGGTAATAGTATTAGCGACACTGGATACACCAGCCATTAATTAAATGCTGGTAAAAAAATTATGGCCATTTATATGACCGCTAAATAATAAGTTAATTGCCACAAAAAAACTAGTTTTGGTGTAGTGAGACAAGGATTAGATTAAATTGCAAGTGATTTGATTCCTAACTACACAATTGAGCAACACATTTGGATAAAGGAATTGCCCTAGTATTTTATTTTCTTCAAAAATGTGTCTTGTGGCTTCCGATTATCCTTCTGTCCAATACCTAATGTATATAAAATAGATTAGACCCTAATAAATCACTTGCCATATTAGCCAAAACGTACATTTGTGCATCTATTTGCTTCCCTAAAAACGTGGGACACTTGAACTTGACCATCTCAATTCAGAAGCTGACAAATTGCTTGAACAAGACTCCTACCAGATGCATTCCTCATATTTCTTCCCTTTAATTAATGATTTTAACTACAACCTTTAAATTCATGAATTAAATGCGTAATTCTATTATAGTAAACCATTTCATCGATGCAGAGATCTTACACGTAAGTGTCTCACTACATCGAGATAATATTAGAAAAATTGATATAAAATTATATGAGTAAATGTTATTAATAAATTTTTTTGTGTCATTTTGTCAAATGTGAAATAAAATTTATGTTATTGATTAAAGACTTTTAACATGTTTACATATTAATGACAATATTTTAAGAATATTATTAAAGTGATATTTTTGTAATATTTTAATAATATTGTTAAGATTTTATAAACTTTATAATGATACTTAGTTTTAATATAGATATATTGTTACTTATATTGTATAATTCTTGTCTACAATGTTAAATTATTTTATTTATAATTGAATTAATATTAAAAAATAATTAAAATATTACTCAATTATAATTAGTTGTCAATTATGTGTCAATCATAACTGTTATAAAATTTTAGTAGATAGTTTTTATAATGAAAATGACCATATGATGGGTTGGGTCATTTATTGTGAGTAACCTGTTGAGAGGTCTCTACCTACTAGAGTTATATATTAGTTATCTCATTAAGCTATATAGACGTTGACTCAATTTCTTAGAAAGTGAGTACAAAGTTTTCAACTCAAAATCATTTCTCTTCTCTCTAAGGTGACTCAAATAAGATATTTGCAATTATATATATAGTCATATAAACATGATATAATTTGTATCTATAGCTATTATGCATGATATGATTCATTATTTTCTAGCATACAAGTCTTTTAAAGTTATAAATCAAAATCTATTTTAAGTTTCATTTTTTGATTATATATACTATTTATATATCATTCGTTTACTCGATGTAAAATGTTAATTTTAGAAAATAATTAGAGATGGGAGAAACTATTATTTTTGGATAAGCATTTTTTATATGTAATCATTTAACCCTTTTAATCATGTGATAAAATATTCACATTAAAAGCTTCCTTTAT